GGAAGGCTACTGCGGTGAAACAAATGGAATTTTATATACAGTGCAGAGGAAAATTACATTTTTAAAATATCTTTTATGGAAGTGATCTGGAACCACGTCATTTCTAAGTAATATACTTCAAGAATGTTCTTATTATAAAAGTTTACATCAAACATCTATTTCGACAATGAAAATTAACAACTACATATAGTGAGCATCATAAATATTTACATTTACATAAATATTTACATATAAACATTTACGTATAGGTGGGTTCCTGATCGTAGTGATATACCTCCGATGATGATTCGTTAAGAATCGAAGCATGTTAGGTAACTAAGTGCTGAAGTCATTATATGTCACATTGGACTGAAATAAACCCAATGGATTAAAATATCTGGGGCATAAATCACCCATAAAGTTAAAACTGCTTTATATTACAATGTGGTGATGTAGGATGTAGTTATTGTATTGTGTTGGTTATACTGATTCGTATCATGATGTGTGATGCTGTCTCATACTCGCTTTCTATTGGTTTCAATAACATGATTCTCTGCAGCTCTGTCATGGTTCCTAGTGGGTGAAGTGTTGAAAATGAATCCTATCAAAATACAGAACAAACTCTGTGATTTTAGTTCGCAAGCGAACTATACCGACTGAGCGACCGCCACTTGTCGGCGAAGTTAGCACCAACTTAGAGGGTGTCGCATGGTCAGCGCAATGGTTCTTCACAGCCGTTAATCTCGGGTTTTCTAGACCGGAACCACTATTTCCTTAAAACAGCTCCTCGATTATCCTCACGAGGCTGAGTGGACCCCATTCAAGACCCACTACTTCTCAGAAATTTATTCAGAATTTATTGTCTTGTTGAGGAGAGGGGCAACCCCAATCATCCTCCATGCACTAACTGCACATGAAACCCCAGCACTTCATGAATAGGACAAAGATTTTCCATAGTCCAGTATTCATTTTGGCCATTTACATAACCAATAAGAGTTTCCAGAAACCACCTACATAATCAAATTCTTCTTTCACAGTCTGAACAAAAATGGTTATGTATAACCATACTTCTGTGAAGTGATAACTTGAACAATGTTGCAACAACATGAGCTGCACATTTTGCCAGCCCAAACTGAACAGCCAGAAGACATAACAATTTCTTCAGGCTTACTTCTTATCGAGTGCCAATGTCATCCAGTTTTCCTTCAGCAGCATGTCTTCTTTGAGATTTCTTTTTCTAAAACATCAATCCTGGAGAACACAGTTCTGTTATGACATTGCAAACAACTGCTTTACACGGTACTGTACCGTCAGGATAATTCCACCAAAACTTTCTACATTTCCTGCTTGAAAAACGCTGTATAAAGCTGTTGTATATAAATAATTCCTGTTCAACATTATACTTAATTTATGAACGCTGTATTTAACAATGCTAAGCTAAGAATTATTTTTGTATGTACCTCAATGGAAATTAACCATGCTAAACACCAGCATTACAGAGACAAGTACCATGCACTTGGTGCTGATGCAATAGCTCGACTGCCAACAAGGGACAGGCATGAGCAAACATATTTCTATCTGGTCAGTCTAAGGACAAATCGGATTCTCCATATTACTGCATTGGGTGTCTCCTAAATGCTGAATGTTAGTTCCCTTTTCCTTCTAGTAGCTGTCAAATCAACACAATTATGTCTGTTGTGGTTTTCTTCTTCTATTGCAAATTTTAATAATGGGCAAAAGGTATTAATATTGTCCCTTTTTCAGTTTTTAATTATAAATTGCAAGAACATCAGCGACATGATAAAATAACTTAGAATTTATTCTTTTATTAGTAATTACTAGGACCTGGATCTTTATGCGCTAAAAACACTTAAAATATGCACTAAAATCACTTAAAATATGCGCTAAAAAGTGGGAAAATATGCACCAAAAATAAAACAATATGCACTTAAGAAACAGGTCGCTTCATTCAGACTCACCTATTTACATGTATCATTCACTGCAGAAAGTAGCATCACAATAGGAAACTAGAAGTCTTCCAATGTTTTCTGGAGACAAACTGCGTCTCTTGCCCGTCAATTGAGTTTATAGGCTGAGAATGATCTTTCTACATCAACTGNGCAAATTTTAATAATAGGCAAAAGGTATTAATATTGTGACATGTTGACCCCTACCTCCCCAGCGGCACGTGGCGNGGGCAAAAGGTATTAATATTGTCCCTTTTTCAGTTTTTAATTATAAATTGCAAGAACATCAGCGACATGATAAAATAACTTAGAATTTATTCTTTTATTAGTAATTACTAGGACCCGGATCTTTATGTGCCAAAAACACTTAAAATATGCACTAAAATCACTTAAAATATGTGCTAAAAAGTGGGAAAATATGCACCAAAAATAAAACAATATGCACTTAAGAAACAGGTCACTTTATTCAGACTCACCTATTTACATGTATCATTCACTGCAGAAAGTAGCATCACAATAGGAAACTAGAAGTCTTCCAATGTTTTCTGGAGACAAACTGCGTCTCTTGCCCGTCAATTGAGTTTATAGGCTGAGAATGATCTTTCTACATCAACTGATGTGATTGGACAGTATTTATACACTGGCGCCGAAGGTTCGGAACATTCATTTGGCAAAGATACCCTAATTCCACTACAGTATCGACTAACTGACTGAATCTCTTTTAGTCCTGGGTTCGAATTCAACACAATTTCTAAATTGCATTTAATTGTCCCTCCAACATTGCCTGGAGTGGAATTCAGTGAACAAGTTGCTTTCTGAACAGGTTCAAGTGAGTCGTGAAGGAGTGCACCACTAGATTCTAAGATCTCAATGGCTTTTGAAACTGTAGAAAAATGTGCATGGATAAAATTCACATCTTGATAAACAGTATTACTTCCAAACACCACTTCTGCTTCATGGACACATGCATATTCATCCTCAAGTTTTGCAACCACTTCTTTTACTTGATTGAAATTCGATGCAATGAAACTGCGGATAACCATGTCCCCCACCTAGTTAGGACAGGTTCAGGTGGCAGAGGAACCTGAGGTAGGCAAACTTTGTAGAACTGGACATGAGCTGGTGCTTTCAGAAACAGTTTTCCCACTTGCAATTAAATCGTTAACAGGTGGAAACTGTGCGCGTATTTTTTCTGCGATACGGTGTAATCCGTGCACTAAACAGGTTACATGTATAAAATCTGAATAAAATACTTCTAAGGCCTTTGCTGCTTTCAGCATAAAGGAAGCTCCATCTGTGAGTAGTACAAGCACCTTACAACAATTATTCTCAATTTCAGATGGCCATAGTAGTTGCAGAGAATCATTTACAGATCTTGTTATTCTGCTATGGTTGGTTTTCTCTAGTACTTTGAAAGCAAGAAGATGAGGTTTGTCAGGTTCGTCTGGATGTAGCTTACCAACTATGAAATGTGATATGTATCGGCCACATAAATCGGTTGTCTTATCCATTGATATCCAGACACAGTTTCCTCTGATGTCAGAAAGTACACAATATTTCTCCAGAAATGATCACAAAACTGGACTGCTTAATTTATTCCATGGAATGCTGCTGAATACTAAAGCCTTACAAAGATCGGTTGAAACTGTATTAACAGAGGACTTGGGTTTGACCTGTGTAAGAAGTAGTTGTTGTGGTGTGCTGTTCTTCTTCCCCTTCTTTGCCGTAATATGTGCAGTCGTTCTTGAGTGTTGTTCAAGTTGAAATTTCTTTTCAAATTTTACTTCCTTTGCACACACTTGACAGTATACAACGACACCGTCTGTTGAACAGTCACTATTACCCGACACCCGCCGAATTTTTAAATATCTACTGCTGCACTTTTCTTTAGGCATTTTCAGCACACGAACACTTTTCTGATGCAGACTATTAAAGAAAAGAGTAACACATTAACTGAAGAGGCTTCTCTCGAGACCAATCCTCTGATGCTACTGTCTGCTNTATTGTCCCCTTTTCAGTTTTTAATTATAAATTGCAAGAACATCAGTGACATGATAAAATAACTTAGAATTTATTCTTTTATTAGTAATTACTNGCTAACTTTCGAAATAGCCAAGCTATATGCTTGTATTGTAAGTGGTAAAAGTGCCGTTACTCAGGGAGTTGAAAATAGAAACTGGTAAGTGTTGCCCAAACCACAGGAAAACCCGATTTTCTTAGAGAATATTGAAATTATCCTTAATTTCAAACATAAAACATACATGCAGAAATATGCTCTTACGTTAGAGTATGCAATAACGACCAAAAACCCTCAAAACATGCATTTGCATATGCGCATATGCATTTTCAAAAAATCCGGGCCCTAGTAATTACAAAATTTTATTGTGCTCTAAGAGTAGGAGAGCATCTCTACTAATAATGCCAGTGTCGGTACACCCATAGCTGAAATGTTTACTTGTACTGTCTGTGGTACAAATAGTTCCAGTCTATTATTAGTTCAATAAGTATAATCGCCCTGTTGAGGGCTGGTTATATATCAATATTAAATTTTGTTTCTTACTATTTTTCTAATTTCATGTTCTGGCACACTGGTATATTCATCTGTAATGCTGAACAGGAATAGTGTTGTGTATATTTTATACTTACATTTTTTAAGTCCTCCTTTTGGCTCGCTGGGATCCTTGTATTACATGAATTTGGTAACTGTGTATATTAATTTGTAATTATCAGATATCTAAGACAATTTGTAAGCACTACTATGTGCCAATTATCTATGGTTCTAATTGGGTTATATGGGCTTTCGGATTCCTATTCATTAATTTTAATATGTTTAGTTTATTTATAAGTGTTCTTAGTGTTATGCCCTATTATTTTCTGTTATTTTCTTGTTGAATTCAGGTAAATTGGTGTCCATTCATGAAATTATGAACTGTACATCGTAGCAGTTACCTTCCTCAGTTATGCTATTCAGTCTGTGTTCTACTCCTTTTCTATGCTGTTGATAACATTTTTTTTCATGTTTCACTATATTACACATCTCATGATTTATTATTTATAAATTTTAGCAAGAAAATGTCTCATATAAAGTTTTCTCTTATTTCTAGCAGGCTTACTGCAGTCTCTTTTCGACTGTTAAATTTACTACACAATTCTGGTTTAAAATGAAGGTTATGAAAAATTTCTGACCGTATTGCTAGGAGAGTACTTAATTCAGGATTCTACACACACATTAAATTCAAGGTGAGTATTTCAGTTCTTGAAGTCTTTTACTTTAATTTGGATTACTAAGACTGATATGCAGAATATATTGATGAACTAACCTGACCAAAGGAGCCTTTACCAATGAGAGAGTCAATTTCGTATCGGTCAAGGAACTTCTCTGCATTCTTGATGATGTAGTCATGGTTGTCATCATCAAATCCATCGTTGTACAATTTACGCTCCTTTTTGTGTGAGCTGTCTTCTCCTTGAGTCTGCTGTGCCCGTCGCTTTTTCTTTGCATAGTATACCTGCAACACACAGGATTCCATTTTAACTTCTCTGCAAATCAAGTAATTATTTCCATTGTGTGTCCAGCATATATTAACTTAAAATAAGCATTATGCATTCCATGGAAGAAGACTTCTTTCAGTGAGAAAAGGATTGGAGAGGAAAATTCAGTTTTCAAATCATGTCATATTCTCTCAAACTGAGATACTCATAGTAGATATAAAAACCTGGCCACCTTCAGAGTCCATGATCAACATTTCAAAGAGAAAACTCCCCCATCAATGTCGTCATAGGCTCTTATTCAGATCTATTAGTACTATACAGTGTTATACCGTGACTTCCTTTGTATAACGAAACTGAAAAAAGTGATGATATGAAAATATACTGCACCGAGATGTATGGAAGAATACATACCACCATGAACATGTGTTGTCAAACACCAGAGAGAACTCACATAATGTGCAACACGTACTGTTATATTGCACAGACAATGCCCCTTCCCCTAAATAAAACAATACTAATGCATAACCTGAAGCTACAATGCAGGCCTTACGATTTGAATAAATGATATTATACAGTAATCAGGTTTCAGTAATACTGAACCATATTTTACCAATTTCAACACTATTTTATCTACATTTTTATACACTTCCACACTGTTAACTAGTACTTAGAGCCTGTATATATTCAAGGCAATTTACTGTCCATCACCTGATGATGAACATCTGGTGTCATACTTGTACTGAACGATAAATATAAGATATAAAGTACTTTTGTGTAAGACTATGTGATAGTTACCTTACGACCTATATAGCAAATACAGGAAAACAGAAAACTTGTTTGCTGTATCAGCATAAAACATTTGGTAAACCCCGTTGTTTATGAAAACTGGCCAAAATGAAAAATGTACTGTCTGACAGACAACATTTATTTTGAAATACTTTCCTTCTGTTGCAGTACCCACAACTGTTCTTGTTATCAAATTATTACAAAAATAAATAATTTGTTGACAGAACAAATCAACCAAGAAAGAAATTTAACTACATATAGGCATATCTATTTTATATGCATTTCATTAAATATGCAAGAATAAAATGCTTTACATAAGAGTTATATGTCCTAATTAGATCTTGATTTGCACTCATGCACCAGTTCCTTATAGGACAAGTATTTGAGAGATTTTATGGAGTTAGATTTGAGCTGCTTGATAAACTGAAATTTCAGAGTACTTCCATTAATAAAAATTAAATTCATGAGATAACTTTTAGTATTGACCTAACACCCAAGTAGAGTGTATCAAATTTCACTGCAAGAAATTTTGGAGATGAACCTCACTGATGAACATAACCTCCCTACTCATTCTGCAGACTTCAAGCAAATAATGCACAAACATAGTATCATCAGGCATGTGAGAACTTTATTAAACAAAATATGTGCCCACAATAGCTTTAGACCTTGTACATGATGCATCACTTCATAAACATATGGCCTTTAAATAGGAAAACTGAAAGACACCAGTTTATCCTTCACATCTAAAAATAATTTTTGTACACACACAAAAAAAAGTGTGACAAATGTGCAAGCATGTAGGCACAGCTCCATCTGTCACAACCAATAAATTAAAATAAACAATTTAAAACAAGAATGAATAAATAAATAAATAAATATTTTTTACTTGATTTTGCAAATATGACCCTGCCACTACAGGTATATCTATGCAATGCAACAACTCCAATTTTTTCTCACACCACTTGGTTGCTAAAAACTGTTATACTTCTAGAGGAACATCAGGCATGGCCGCTCCTGCCTTTACTGTTGTAACCCATTGACCAATTACAATTTTCCAAGTTCATGACCCAAAATAATGCAATAAAATATAAGGCATATTATACCTGCAGATTTCTTAACTTTTCCTTACCCTTCACAAAAAACACAACCTCTGATCTAACATATACAAAAACACGTATGTTATGTTTCATACAGTCACGTGATAGTAACTACAGTTTGGATTAATAATTGGATTTATTGAGCACTTATAACTTGTAACTACAAGTAATTATTATAATACTATAATTCGTAATATCGCTAATCTATACACTTTACAAATCACTACTGCACTAAGTCTTCTCAGTCTGCTATAACCTTCACTGGTCGTTGTCTGGTAACGGCGTTAGCAACGGATACTCCTCTGTTTCCCGGCTCGCGTCATTGCTGGCTTTCAACTCAAATCTCAACTGCAATTCATGGCCTCCTAGCCATGACTGACTACCATACTAACTGGTATGACCGTACCTATCGAATTTTTACTGTTGTCTAAGTTACCTTGTTTTGTCTTTCGTATTTGTCTGTGCGTTTGATGCCGATCACAGTGGCCGCGCGGTCTAAGGCACGAACCACCTTCGCCCGCAAGAACACTGGGATCGTGAGTTCGAATCCCACTCGAGGCATAAATGTGTGTGCGTTTATTTTGTTTGTGTTTTTCTGTGAGCAGATAGAGGTCTTGGGATGGGCTGATCTCCCGTCCAAGGTGCAAAGGACTGTAGAGCAATAGAGAGAGATAAAGGTTGTTTGTTTCCGTCTCTGTTTTTGCTTATTTTATGATTAGCCTCTGGGCTGTCGGGTAAGCAGATATATAAATGAAGAACTGAACTCAATTAATAAGAAAAACGGCCACATTCTGGGAGAATGGGCACTTTTGTACGTTCCTTTCAAAATATGCTCATCTTTAAGTGAAAGGAACAATTATAACTTGAGTAAGGATATGAACTCCTTGCTCATATATCCAGTTATTCTGCATTGATGTATCTGCTGATGTGTTAAGTAATATCCATTTAAGGTATGGCAGAATGTTTCCTTTGACTCGGGAAGGATGTAGCATCTTCTTCTGATTTATTGGATAAAGGAAAACTAGAATAACTTCGATTGTGACAGCTGATAACAAAGCAAACCAATTATACCTCACTTACTGAAATCAGTCCAAAATAAAGGCGCAGATGTGATCAGCAAAAAAAAAAAAAAACTCCGTGGCCTGTAGTCCATAAGCGAATTATATCGACCGCCGCTTGTCGGCGAAGTTAGTGCCAACTTTTGTGGATAGAAGGTGTCGCGTGGTCAGGGCAACGGTTCCCCAGGGCCGTTAATCACAGTTTTCTAGACCGGAGCAGCTATTTCCTTGAAATAGTTCGTCAGTTATCCTCACGAGGTTGTGTGGACCCCGTTCCAGACCCACTACTACTCAGAAAATTTGGTAGGGCCTGGAATCGAACCAGGGATCTCTGGATCTGTAGCCAGAAACTCTGACCACTAGACCACAGAGGCGGTCAATGCCATTATAACCTTGCCTTTTAACTTCATGGACAAACACTATGAAGTGCTTGCAAGAGACGCCATGTCTAAACAGTCATCGTCCTTGGAGGGTTCAACTCCGAAATAAGGAATTGTTTGCATAAAATCAATCTAAGAAAACATCCTACACTCACATACATTACCGGATATTTTGTGAAAACGAATGCAGTAAAATGTGTGAAGGCAGATACTCGTATTTTGTAAGAATATGGTTAAACTAACATTTTTTAATAGAGGAAGATGTAACAGTTGTTTAAACTAGTACTTTCTTTCTGAGCCCTTATTCGCACATGCTGGAACATCGCAGTAGGTGGTCGGCTACAGGCCGGTTCAATTCCTTCTGCGACTAGACTCTCTCTTCACCACTGCACCAACACTGGCTTTGGGGGCCCACCCAGAATTCTAACCGATATGTATCAGTGTGAACGGTGACAAATATCTGAAACTGATCGCTCATCTCTTTCGATGGTCAAGATCAAAATTGCCATGTTCCTTAACTAAAGGTCAAAGACTTTATTTTTTCACCTTGCCGCTTCGACCCCTTGACAATGTCAGTATATTCTGCAAATTATAAAGCACAACAAACCAAGTTCGAGTGAGTACACTTGGTAAAAGAATAACTAGCTCTATCTGATTTGCTGTCAGACATACGTGCGCCATATTGTTATTTTTTTAACAACAGTCAGTAGCTCAGAGTACACAGTGTCACGCCACTCGATGAAGGTGAATACCGAATTGAAAATGATACCTAAGGAAATGGGCCGATCACGGTAGCCGAGCAGTCTAGGGCATGCACTGTCTTCGTTCGCTCGTAGGCCGGGATCGTGGGTTCGAATCCCACACAAGGCACGGATGTTTAGTATGTGTTTATTTTGTTTGTGTTGTCCTGCATTTGGGTAGCGGCCTTGCGATCAGCTGATCACTCGTCCAAGGAGTCCAACAGTCTGTAAAATGATCATGAAACTGAAAATCTGAGACCAGGGCCCACAGGGGCTGTAGAGCCACAAAAAAAAAATAAGGAAATGGCCATGGCATAAATTACATTAAGGTACTTACTATTTACTTATTTATTATCATGTGAACCAAGTGGCTTTGAAACGTAACCACGTCCTACGCCATGTTAATGCTGCCTTCAATACAAGTGTATTTGCAAACACAAATTCTAAGTTTAGGTTTTGGGTCTTGGTTTAACAGATAAACAAGGTTTGTAGTGCTAACTTGGTGGGCACGACGGTAAACTGTGAAGTTACTTGGGTCAGCCGTTAATATTAAGTACCTAAGACAGCACGCCACAATTTGCCTCGAGGGTGTGGGAAAACCCTCGACCTTGGTGGTGGGTGTCTCGGCCGAGATTCGAAACGGACATCACCCGTATACAAGCAGTGGGTGTTCCGGCTTCAGTTAACTTATTCCGTGAATAAAAAAGTGCAATGTATTTGATCACAATTAGAGGTCCATGGCACAGCTCCCCGTCTCCTCGATCAGTCTACGATCAAAGTTCGTCTCCTCGGCTCTAACGAAGGCGGTGACAGAGTGGGAGGAAAAGCGCAGGCGGAAGATGAAAAGAAGGGATGAGGGTAAAAAGACGTGATGGCGGAAAGGAGATGCAGCAAGAATAGTGACGAAAATCGATAGCAGCGTCACAACTCTGGTTGAAATGGTCTACCACGAGAGG